GGTGGTAGTGGTGGTGGTGGCGGTGGTGGTAGCAGTAGTAGTAAGTGACCGATTAATAATTTGTCAGAATTATGCGGTTAAAAACGGACCGATTTAAATATGGCTGCGGTTATCATTTATCTCTCTCTTTCACTCTCTCTCTCTCTCTCATTTATTTATTTATCATTTTATAATAAATAAAATACGTTGTTGTTTGGTTTTTTTTTTTTAAATTTTTAATTATGTATAATTTCTCGTTTTGAATAAATAATAATAATAATTAAATTTTCCAAACTTTGAAACTTTTTTTTTCTTTTCCATACGAAAAATTCGATAGAATTATTTTTAGGGTCGTCGCCGTAATAATAATAATAATAAACGTTTGTTATTTCTTATTCTTAATTTTTTGTTGTTGTTGTTGCTATTACAATCGTTAGTCGTATTACGATAATGATAATAATAATAAATAAATAAATTGAAAATTTGTTTTTTTTTTTTTTGTTTCGAAAATTAAAATATTTGGATCGGTTAAATGTTTTTCCAGTAGCAAAAAAGCAAAAAAAAAAAAAAAAAAGTTTTTCTAACGTGGTACGGCACGTATGATTAATGGCCGACAACTTGTTTTTTAATTTAATTGCCGTGGTTTTAAGTAAAAAAAAAATTTCAAAACGTGGAAGTTTTTTTTTTTTTTAAATTAAATTTTTAATTGTAATAAAATAATAATGATAATGATAAATTTCAGGTACGACAGGAAATATCCACGCCCTTTTACATTTAAAAAAAAAAAAAAAAAAAATAATAATAATAATAATGGTAAATTTATTTATTTTGAATTTTCAGGTTTTTTTTTTGATACCTGTCAAATATTTTTCGAGTTTTTTATTTTATTGTTAAAAATCATTTTTCGTAATTTTAATAATTAAAAGGATTGAAAAACATTATTATTATTATTATTATTATTATTATTATCCCACAAAGAAATTACGCGCGCGTAAACTCAGTTAATTTCCAATTTTTATTTTTTGTTAAATGTTTTAAATGAGGTTTTTTTTTTTTTTTTAAACGAAAGAAATAAAATAAACACTTTACTTATTAGAAAAGAAAGAAAGATGGCGATAATAGATAGAATAAGAAGAAGATGGAAAAGGGGAGAAAAAAAAAGTTTTTAATGAGCGTCATTATTATTATTATTATTAGATTCCAATAAAAAAAAAAAAAAGAGAAAAAAAAATCATGGCCGAACATAACAATTCAATATTATTTTATTTATAAAAAAAAAAAAACAAAATTTTTAATGGCGGAAATCGTAATGAAGGGTCTTGTTTGATGTGATTGTATAGAGAACCAGAAGGAACGGAAGCTTATTATTATTATTATTATTATTATTATTATTATTATTATTATTATTATTATTATATAAAATTTAAAATTAGCCTTTTTTCTTTCTTTCTTCGGCGGACTACAAAAAAAAAAAAAGAAAAGGTTTTGTTGTTGTTGTTGTAGTTGGTAGTACTGATGCGTCGTCGTCTGCTTGAAATTTGTCATCCAATGATTTTCATTCTCCGTATTTAAAATTTGTGTATTTAATATTCAAGAGTAAAAAGTCACGAACCTAAATTGTGTCGGGTCAAATGTTAGGTTTTCCAATTTTAAACTTATTATTCTTGTAACGCCGCAATCCTACAAATTTAAAAAAAAAAAAACAACAATCGGGATAATTGAAATTTGAAATTCTGGAACGTCTGGATTGATCCTTTTTCATTGTCGTCCTCGTCGTCGTCGCACTGATTTAAATTATACTCTCTCTCTCTCTCTTCCTTTTCTTTCTCTCTTTTTGTTCGGTATTTGTTGATTAACTCGGATTTAAAATAACCTCTTTGATTTTTTTTTTTACCGCTTTTTTATATCCGCACCTGTTTTTTTTACATCAGTCACTTAATAACCTTTCGTCAGGTAACTTTGTCACCCCCTCCCTCGCCTTCCCACACACACGAAATTTTTTTTTTACTTACCCTTTTGGTTTTTTTTGAGGGAGAAATACAAATCACGATCGAAAAAAAAAAAAAAAATTTTTTTTTGTTACCTTTTCATCATCATCTCCTTTCTTTTTGTTATTGTTATTCACTCCAGCTCCCCGCCCCCCAAAAAATAATAAACAATAAGAAAAATTATTTGCTTCCTACGTATTATATTTCGGATTTTTTGTTTATAAAATATATATTTGTGTGTGTGCGTATTTGTTAAATCGGGAGTTTTTTTGTTTCAAACTTTTAAATTTTCTCACTTTAGTTAACGACCTGATAATTTTCGGGAGAGGGGTAAGACGGTGGGGGGTGAGGCGGGGGCGGCGCGGGCGAGTCTTGATTAATTGTTTTTAATTTAAATAATTTTAATCTTTAAAACAGTAAAATGCAGGCTTTGCTTGCTACAAAATTTTTTTTTTTTTTTTTTTAAAAACTTTTTAAAACTTTTCGAGTTTCTTTTTTTTTATTTTATTTCTCATTAAATTTTTCAAAAACTTATTCCAGTTAGCAGAAACCTTAAAAATATCGATTTTTCTTTTTAATACTTTACAAAAAAAAACCGTTGATATTAATTGTTTTCATACATCAAAAAGAAAATTTTCTACGTCATCATCATTTTTTTTTCCCCCGTTTACAAACGTTTTTCCGAGGTAAAATTAAAATTTATTTTCATTCGGGTAAACAAAAATTTTCTCTTGTTCAAATATTTTCCATCTGTTAAATATTAAAAGAAGTTTTTTTTTTTTTTTTTTTTAAGTAAATAACTTTAAAGTCCATTTTATGAACTCTTTATTATCATCATCATTATTATTATTATTATTATTATTATTATTATTATTATTGTTACGATTATTGTTACCGAGTGAATTTAAAATTTAAAATTGTACGCGTTTTTAACGTGTAGAATTTTCTTTTTTTAAATGGCGGTTGTTAACGCACGACGAAGTCGATTTTATTAAAATTAAATTAATTCGGTTTCTTATTATTATTATTATTATTACTATCACCACTAGATTTACTTTTAAATGATTTCGCAGACGACAAACGACAAAAACAACAACAACTTCTTTTTATGTATGTTTTATTTGTTTTAACAACAAAAGTTTTTTTTTTTTTTTAATAATAATTTTAACATAAAATTCAACGCGACGCGACGTCATACCTACAACAACAACAACAAAAACTAAGTTATGCTATTACTTTATGAAAAAAGAAAGAATGAAAAAAAAAAAAACTATTTGTAATTATCCCGACGAAAAACCTGGAGCAAACGGAATTCCCGTCGTACCTAAGGGAATTTGGTTAATTTCTAAAAATGGGTTATAATTAAACTCAACGTGTGTAAAACATAATGGAAACATAAAACGAAAAGAAATTTGATAATAATAGTAGTAATAATAATAATAATAATACGAATTTATTATATTTATATGTATCATCTAAGAAATGTATTATTAATGGAGAAAAAAAAAAAAAAAACAAAATGAAAAATTATCTATCGTGTCACTAGCGTTCGCTTCTTTTTTTTCTTTAAGTTTATTTAAAAAAAAAAAAAATTAAATTTTGACGTGACGTTAAGAATTTTTTTTTAAAATTTTATTTCGACTCGAATTATACTTATATAAATTATTATTATTATTATTATCATTACGCAATTAATAAATAATTCGTTGCAAGAAAGAGAGTAATTTAATTAATTAATTAATTAATTTTTTTTTTCGTTTCTCGAATTAATTTAAATAAGGAGAGTTTCGGGATAAATGTAATTTAAAAGTATTTTTACGCGCGTTTTTTTTTCTATCTCTTTCTCTCTCTCTCTCCAGAAATGTCGTTTTCTTTCTCCTTCCACGTTATTCTTTTTTTTTTTCTAAACGATTTAATGTAAAAATTTTTTCTCCGAGGGAATATTTATGCGGTTTCTTTCTACTTACACGTCGTAGAATTTTATTTTTTTTACACGCCGTGTCAATTGTTAAAAATTTTTTTCGATCGTTTGCCAGGGAAAAAATTTGATGACGTCATTATTAACGTACGTTTTTTTTTTTTTTTTTATTCGAGAGTGAAGTGAAATGAAATCATTTGCCAAAGAAATTTCGTGTTTTTTATTAAAACGACATGGAATTTTCTCCTCTCTCTCTCTCTCTCTCTCCATATTCCCCTCTCCCCTCTTGAAAAAGAAAAATATTTTTTTAAACGAAATTCATAATAAAACGTTTAACAAAAAAAATTATGCGAATAAATAAAAATGAAAGCGATTAGAAAATTGACGGTTATCAATGAAAAATGATCCGTACTTGGGTACGTATAAATTTCAAACGTGTGTGTGTGTGTGTTTGTTTGTTTGTTTGTATATCAGAAGAACAATCGATGTATGGAAAATAATAAAAAACAAATAAAATTATAGGTTGAATATAGAAAATTCCATTTGAACGGGGAAATAGAAAATAGAATGAGGGAAAAACATAATTGGGAGGTTGAATAGATTTTAGGTCGATTGATTATTAAATTAATTGGAAAATTGTGGGAAGAGAAGAAATTTTAACTAACGCCACGACCTTTTGTTCGATCGAAACTTCTCGTCGCATTCATTTTTTTTTTTTTTTTTTTTTATCTATGACAAAATGTTTTGAATTTATGTTCAACGGATGGGAATGGAAGAGAGAGACTCTGATGAAAAATATATTCACGATCGATTTATAAATGTTTTACTAACTAAAGGGAGGTAAATTATTCCCGATTTTTCATTTCCGCAACCCCTCAACTCCCAACCCCCTCTCTTTTCCCGGTATGCATACGAACAACACAAAACGTCGAACGAAAACTAAAAAAAAAAAATTTCACGTTCGTAACGCGAACGAATAAAAGAACGTCGTCTGCCTAAAATATTTCGATTCTTGATTCGAAAATAAAATTATTATTATTATTATTATTATTAACTCTCTCACTCTCTTTCTCTCTCTCTCTCTCTCTTTCTCTTTCTCTCTTTTCAAAGGATTTTCTTTCAGTGGATGTACATAAAAAAAAAAAAATTAAATTATCTTAACGTGTAATTTTTTTTTTTTTAGGGGTGTTTTTTACATTTTTAAGTAAATAAAAAAAAAGGGAAGGAGTGAGGGGAAGGGGAGGGCAGAGGAAGGGGTAAGGAAGGAAAAAAGAGAGGAAAAGTACAATTAGCAATACAAAAAAAAAAAAAAATTAATTTTGAAGTCCGGGATTTTTTATTCCGAAAGAAGTTAAAGATGGAAAAAGTGGTAAAAATGTAAAAAAAAAAAAAAATTATTAAAAGGAAAAGGTTAAGAGAAAAAGAATGAAAAGGTTGTGCGCGTGACGTATTCCTTTTTTTTTTTTTTAAAAGGAAATAATACGTTTCAGTTTCACCTACGACACCCCCCCTTCCCCCTGTACTCACGCATACAGAAAAAAAAAAAATTCGATTTATTACGAAATAAAATTTTTGAAAAAAAAAAAAAAAAAAAAGGTTAGGAAGGAAAAGGATAATAGGAAAAGGTAGTAATCAAAGGAGTGAGGGGGTGGTGGTGGGGGAAGTGGTGACGAAAGGGAAAAAGAAAAAAAAAAGGTTTAAAGGTTTTTTATTTTTTTGTGTGCAGATTTTTAAAAAGAGGAAGAAATTCATCATTTATAATAAAAATGTTGTTGGTAGATATCAAGTTAGTTAAGATCTAGATAAAAAATTTTCATTTTTTTTTTTTTTGCTTTGTGGGTGAAGTAAAAAAAAAAAAAAATTTCTCCCCATCGCCTGCCGCCCCCCTTTTTCTCCCCACCTCCTCCTCCACTCCCCATATTCCATTTTATCCGTTATTTAATTCAAACGGTGAATTTGAAATATATTATATTGTTTTAAAACCACGCGGGGAGTCGAAAAAGTATACAAAAACAAATTTTTGATATTTTGTTGTTGTTGTTAAAATTTTCCATTTCGTTTTTACATTATTAACTCAATGTTTATGAAAACATAGAAAAATTTTTTTTTTTTTGCGATAACTAATTACGAGAACTTTGAACTTTTTTCTTTCTTTTTGTTCGCTTTCTGATGTATTTTAAAAACACGATTTTCTATTTATTACGTTTTCTTTCTCTCCTTCCACGTTATTCTTTTTTTTTTTTTTTTTATCAAAACCATTCGTGTTTATTATTATTATTATTATTTCTGTGTGTTTTTGTAAATGACTTACAGATTCGTCGTTCTTTTTTTTCTTTCTTTTGAAACGGTAAAAATAATAATGATAATAATAACAATGAATGTTATGAAATTAAACGTCACGAATTTATGAAAATAACTAACTATTTTGGGTAAATTTTTGTTTATTTATTCTTCTTTACTTCGTGCCACGACATTTTACACAACAATATTTTTCTTCATTTTCATTTTCATTCGGTTTACGATTGTTTAATTTAATTTTTTTTTTATTTATTTTTTAATTCATAATTATTATTATTATTATTATTATTATTATTATTATTATTATTATTTATTATTATTATTATCATTATTATTATTTATAA